AATGGACAAACTCACTTTGAATTAAATAATTGAGTATTTTAATAATACATAATTCATTCATTTTAAATCAAAAAATCAACTCATTCATTCAAATATTAATTGATTTTAAATCAAACATTTATCTATAGAAAAATTTAAAAATGAAAGAAACTTGTTAATCATATATAGCTGATGAAAATAAGTAAAAAAAAAATTCTGTTTGCAGCTTAAAAACTATAAAAATTCATAATGGCAGAAATATATTTCCTTATGAAGATAATGTGAAAATATTTACAAATCTATTTTAGATAGAGTTTAAAATAAATGTGAGATTAAAATAGTATTCTCACTTTGACAGCACATTTTGTTTATTTAAACACAAAACTTTTCAGACTAGAAATTATATGGGCACAGTAAATCAACTTAGCATTGAAACCCTTAAATCTCACTATTTGACATTAAAAAAAAAAAAGTCATGAAATGTTAATTTTTTGTGTTTGAAATCATTATAACTTGCTAAGAATATTTTGATTGGTTAGTAATATCTTTACAAATTGATTGAATGAAAAACACTAATAAAAAAACTTCATTTAAAATCATATTTAAAAATTAGCTGATAAAAAAACTGTAATACCAATATTCTTATAAATTTGTTTCAACCGATAAAAATATATTTTTAGCAAATTTGTTTTAACTAATGAAAATATTCTTAGTGAACTTGTTTCAACCAATGAAAATAATTGTACTATACTTATACAATTTTATTACGATATTATAATATAAACTTTGGTAATTAAGATATGTAAAATATCTTTGGAATATTGCAATTCTACATTACTGTCAATTTAAAAAATTTTCAACTTACAGTCATTTTCTTCTTGAACTTCAGTATTAACATACTCAATAAGAGCTTGGATTTCAACATGGTTCAAATCATCATGATCAACACCAACCTCCTAATACAAAACTTCATATATTATTACTCTTAGGTTTAATTTTTAGAACTTTATAATTAAAAAAACATACATCTCTCTTTTCCTTTTTAACAGCAACAAAATGTGATAGGTATCTAGAAACTAGAGATTCATCTACACCATTAAGTCGTGCATCAGGATTCTCCAAAGTTGAAACTAATTTATTTTCGTTATTCATGTCAATAGCTTGATTGACAGCAGAAACTGCCAGTAAAACTAGTAAAAATAAAAAATTATATTGACAATTTTGTGAATTAATAAAAACCACTTAAAAAAAGCTAATTAAAAAAAAAAAACTCAATTCTACAACACCTTTAATAAATGCTATACTGTTTAAAAAAAAAAAAAAAAAATTTAATCAAAAAACACTGCACAACAACTCAAGGTTTAAACTCCATGTTTAAAACTTGTCTTTTAAACACTGTCCCAGGGAAAAAATATAACTAAACAATCTATTTACTATATGTTATCATAACATGTTAAATATATTATTATAATTGATATTATTATCAAAATAAATTATCATAAATTATCATAGTAACATATTTTAAATAGTTATGTTAAATATATTATTATAATTGATATTATTAATTATAAAATAAATTATCAAAACAACATATTTAAAACAGTTATTTTAAATATATTAGAATAATTGATATTATCATTTATCAAAATAAATTGATTGTAAAATAATAGAAACATCTACAAAAACTGGTTTTATGTTTACATTATTTTTTGTGACAGTTTGATTTAAAATGACAAGAGTGGCGGTTACGTTTTATAACTTTGTAAAATTTAAAATTATTCAAGAATTTCACAAGACAATATTAACTATTTTTTATTTACTATTTATTATTACTCCAAATAACTATTAGATATAATTATTAGATTATTTATATTAATAACATTGTCATAAATAAACACTTAATATTGCTTTTAAAACATTTTGTTACATTCCTACTCCATTTAAAAACAAAATTTTAATTAAAATATCCTTTTCTTATATGTAATTCATCACTCTAGTTTTCACTCAAAAAATGGAAATGAATAAAATATAATTTGCTACATTAAAAACAATTTGAAATTCTTACGCTTTAAACTTTCAGTGAGGTCATCATGAGTTAAATCCTTTTTAAAAATAAAATTATAAACTTTATTATTGTTGACGCATACAAACAAAAATACAAAAAAGCATACAAAATATACTGACACCTAGTTAACATAATAATGAAAAATAAAATACAAACATTTTTTTATTAAAAAAATGGATTTAATTTTTTTTAATAATAATAATAATAACAATAAAAATACTTTTTTGTCAATAATATTTGTAAATCGAAAGTTATTGAATCCCTCACATCATGCACCCTTTTTTATGACCACATACACCATGCTAAAACCGTTAAAACTGTTTTAAAAAGAAAAAAATTCAAACTTACTGATTGCTTTTCGTGCTTAAGTTTTTTTAGGTTGTCCATGTACAAATTAGGTCGAGATTTATCCACAACAGGTAATAAGCCTTCAGGACGCTGTAACCAGACCATTAATTCTTCAGGCGATCCTTTGTCTAACAGCCTATTGATTTGTATTACAGCTCCTTCCACTATACAAAAGTGTTACACATGTACATTTATGTATGAACATACATACATATATAATTTAAACTCAGAGTTTCATCAATGAGTTAAATTTAGAGACACCCTTTTTCTATAGTATATATAAGTTTTTACTCATGAAAACAGTTTAAATATAAAATAGAATCAAAAATAAAAAAATTTATAAAAACCAACAAATATTTAACAACTTTTCGTATATTTATAATTTGAAATACGATGTGATGCATCTCACACATAACCAGAATGAAATACAGTACATTCTCTCTAATTCGAATTTTATAGGGAAAAATAAAAGTTCAAATTAGAGAGATTATTGAATTATAGAAAGTTGACTTTTTTTCAAATATTCTCTTCAAAGTAACAAATAGAAATCAAACAAACAAACAAATAGTATTTCTTTGGCCTAAAAGCAATATATATTTTGTGTTTTGAACTTTTAAAATTGAAAAAAAAGTAAGTATTTGTAGATTGTCTTTTATGAGCTGTTTTATGTCTTTTAGTAAATTTACATCAAAGACACCATTAATATCTTTAAGAGCCTTTGTCAAATTATCTCCAAATTAGTTTGCTTTTTCTTAAATTAGTCTAGCCATCCTTCCGAAGCTTGAAAATTTTTGAAGCATAACTCTATTGCAAAATATAAAACTTTTTATTTTACCAGCAAGCCACTAATTGGTACATTATCAGCTCTCATTTGTTTGAACCATTTAAGTACAGCTTTGTTTATAAGGTTTAATACAAATCAACCTTCACCCGCTTACTCAAATTTCCTTGACAAAAAGCGTCAAAGATTTTATTTTTATTCTTTTTCCAGGTTGAAAGAGTGTTGGTATATCAAAAATTTTCGAAACCTCTTTGTTTGTTTTTCCTTTCTTCAATTCCATTAGAGTTTTTTATTTCCCCCTAAATTGTTTTCTTTATGTCTCTTTGATGCCATAATTTTTTTTAAACAGTAGAAGATAATTATAATAATAATTCTAGAATAAATCTAGTGGTATTCTAATTTTGGGTACCACGGTATACCAGTATTAGATTCATTTTATACATACATATATTCTAGGAAAATAATTTGGGCAGAATACAATCTGCCACATTTTGTTTTTATATAAAAAAATTTAAGACAGAGGGGGAAAGGGTGCGGCATTCTGCGAGCAAAAAAACTTATTGTTATAAAATATGCTAAAAAAACAACAACTATTTTACTTTTTTTAGCTATAACTATAAAAATGTTTACATTTTTAACATTGTCTTTAAAAGGATTGATTTTTTAATTAAAATTGTTCAAAGGGTTTAAAATTACAATTTAGAGAAAAAATCTTAGTTCAACTTCTAATAAAGGTCAATTCAACAAGAAAAAAAAAGCTAGGAAAACTCTATCAGAAGTAATGTTGAAAATTTTCTGCAAAATTTCCAGAAATTTTCAACCCTAATAATTTGCGGAACAAGTATCAGAACAAACAAACTATTAATTTGTGTGTTTCTTATTTCTTCTGTTACTTGTTCTTATTAAACTTCTTTAGATTTATTTAGAGAACAAATTTATTTATTAAAAAAAAAAGATGAAAAATCAATATAAAATAGTTAATAAACAAATAAAATATATAAAAACTAGATAACTCAAAAAACCTCTTAATATCTTTTCTTTATTTTTTTCATGTGTTAAAATAATTAAAAAAATGTTTCAACCAAGTAAAAACAAACCACCTGACTTGATATATGGATAAAATACATTTATTTACCAGGGGCTTCAGTACATACATTGACTGACTATCAAGAGTGCCAATACATTGACTAAGGGTTTGGAAAGGGACAACAATCATTTTTTTTTCTTCATTACTTTTTGTTTTTTTTTTATTGCTTTTTTATTTTCTTATTATCTACTATAACATATAAAGATCAGCAAATGCTTACTAGTTTTGCTTTTCTTTATAGCATGCAGCTTTTTCAGAAAAAGAAGAGACAAAATGAAAAGTTTGCTGCCCAATCCTAAACCCACTGTCGATATAGCAGTACCCATTTGCAACAGCAGGCTACAAGAAAGTTGATATTTGTTCTAAAGCCCCCAGGCTATTTCAGTGTGATGTCACAGTGTTTATATAAATACAAAATTATAGTTGTAAATATATAAATAATACATATATAAAAATTTAAATATATATAAATAGATATATATAAATTTAAATATAAATACATTTATAACGCTGTTACAGGAAGTGCCTGCTGTTGCACACCTTGTCTGCCCATGCATAAAGTATTTTCTCAAGACAACTTGATTATGGCATGTTTTGAAATACTAAATCTTTCAAAAATTAAGCTGAACTAAACATTAAAAAAATAAAAAAAAACAATCAACTAAAAATAAAATAAAACTAAAACAAACTTAATAAACTAAAACTCTAAAATAATAAAAATAAAACATAACTAAAATAAAACTCAAAGTTTTTAAAAGGATCCCAAACTCCCAAAACATGCTGTGTTCGTATTAAAGATAATGTTAAAAAAAAGAAGGTTTGAACCAAGTTTTTTTGATTAAAAATAAATAATGAATGCATACCGAGAAAAACTAATGTTGATGTTTAAGCCGAAGCTCCTTTTCTCCATTTTATTCAATAACTCTGAGTCTTTAAATTATATGTTGCAATCGACAGACTTTGGTGATTCCTTTGAAGCGCATTTAATTCATAAAAGTTTTAGCATTTGACGTCAAGGTAGACTTTTAACAAATGAAAAGTGTAATTAAACAAAGCTGCATTTTTCTAAGTATTTTTTTAACATACAGTAAAACAAATTTATTTGTATTATTTTTCCAAACATCGCAAAAAACTTTTGTAAAAAGTAAAAACAATAAATTATTTTATAGGAGCAACTTATTTTTTACAAATATCTTAATAATTTTTAGATTTATATATCTTACTTATATTTCTTTTGTTTTTAAATTAAAACGATTATTAAAGCTTTACTTACTAATCATATGATTTTCATACGAGTGTTTTACATTATATAGAATGTTTTATATACGGTCTCTCATTTTTGTGCAAGAGAGCGCAGTATTATATATTCTGAATCTTACTTATTTTTATTTAAACAATGGGAACTATTTTCTAACTTCTCTGGTTATTTTTACACTATATTTTTTGTTTTCCTGTCAAAAAAAAAGTATTTATTAACAATTACTTTCATAAACTGACAGTATTAATTAGAGATATTTGATGAATTGTTAACTTTTTTTATTATAAAAATTTTTTGATTACGTTGATTTAATTAAAATTGCTAAATTTGCTGAATTGGATACGGATAAAAAAGAAATATCATTTCATTTTACATTTGGTTTTTGATAATGAAACTTATAAATGTTGGCAACTCCATACCAATTAGAACCTGTTAAGGTTATGAAAAAAAAGTACAAGAATACACTAAACAATACAGTTGACAGTAGTATCAGATATGAAAATTTGTGAAAGAATACGCAAGATCCTGGTTTTGCATTAAAAGTACAGTTAATAGCAACACAAGTCGGCATTATAAATTTTGATTATATGTTTACTGTTCAATATTTTATAACCATCAAATTAAAAACATGAAGTACGTATATTTTCGCCTGTTTTATACAACTAATATTTAACAAAAATACAAATAAATTATTATTAAATAACGCAGTAATTAACACATTAATTAATGGCAACAATTCAAGATAGATGGTAATTTAAATTGTCAAAATGTCATAACGCGCGTTGAAAAACATATTATATTTCCCAATTTGTATCGTATTTGGCGATTGTCTTTTAAAATGAAAAATGAAAAATTTTTAAAAACACAATTAACAAATACAAATTTTCAAGCAATTTTCTCTTCCAATTCTCATTTATTCAAAGAAAAGTTAAAATTAAACTTTTATTTCTCTCATCTAAAAAAAGAACAAGTGACGCAAAAAAAAATATATATATATTCTATACAACTCTTCATTTGAAATTTAATTAAGCAAAACTTTTCTTTCTCTTTTGTTCTACTCTTTTATAAAAAGAGCGCGCGATGAAATAAAAACTTTTCTTTTTCAGCATAAAATTATACTTTAAGATAAAATTTAATTAGAAATAAATCAGCAATGTAACTAACATAAATGAGCAAAGTAACTAACAGATTAATCTGGAACTATTTTGATAATAATGAAAATAATCAACATAAACAACATTACTAACAACTAAACAAATAATCAAAAAAATTTTGAAAAAAAAAAATATTTCCAGAGTTTCATTCATTAAAAGTCTTCCGTGACATTAAATACAAAACGTTTTATGAATTAAACGCTCTTCAAAGGAATCGCTGAAGTCTGTAGATTGCGACATATAATTTGAAGTCTCAGAGTTATTGAATAAAAGGCGAGCTTTGGCTAAAACATCAACATTATTTTTTCTTGGTATGCATTCATTATTTATTTTTAATCAAAAAAGCTTGGTTCAAACCTTTTTTTTAACATTATCTTTTATATGAACACAACATGTGTTGAGAGATTAGGATCCCTTTAAGGAAATTGTTTTAAATGTTTATTATTTGTTATTTTATTTATTTATTTTACTTTATTTTTTTATTTAACCATATCAATAAAAATTTACAAATCTCATCATAAATTAATAGAATTTGGTTAAGTGTCACTTATATAGTTACAAACTAGTCAATGGAGTGACACCTAAAAAACATAAAATTCTTGAAAAAAATAAAGAAATAAAAAATAATAATAAATGAAAAAAATGTTAAAAAAAAAAAAAATGTACATATATAACTTATTTTTTTTCTCTCATATATATACATATATAAGAGAAAAAAAAAATAAGTTAGTTAAATAATAATGATATATATAATAATTATAGTAATAATACAAAATAATAACAATAATAAAGTATCAATAATATTAAGAATATTTATAATACAATATAAATTGTATGTACATATCATAGATAATAATTAACTTTAATAATAACATTAAAAGTAGCAATAATAACACAATAATAAATAAATATAATATAGATAAATAATAAATAAAGCAAAAATCAAACCACTTGCTTGTTAAAGAAATTATATAATAAAGACGACTACAGTAGAGAGATAAATTATAAAGAAATACACTCTAACAATATATTTTTAAATTGTATTCTGTTGAGCAGTAAATAATCCGTAACAAGGGGATATTATTTTTTAGACGTTTTTATTAATGCAGGAATACACTGGTTCCAATCAAAAATACATTGTTGTTTTATGGAAAACTTACCATATTTAATTGTGTTGAAAATAGAAGAGTATAGCTTACTATTTTCTATTATCCTGGTGTGATGATTATGAATTTCATTTGTTTTAATAAAAAAGTTTAAAAAAGAGTTTGGTAGTTTATTTTGGAGAAAACCAAACACAAAAAGACGATTGGGAAACTTTACAAGATGGATTTTTAGTTCAGTAAATTTTTTTGAATATCAGATCTCATTGGCGAAAACGTCATTATTCTAATAGATGTGAGTTACAAACTAGCAATGCTATTAAGTAAAAAGTTTTGTTATTTTTTATTTTCGACGAAAAATGTGAGGATTAATTTGGGTAAATGATCTGATACCGTAGAAGTAAAATTACCAGCAGAAATATTTGTAGAAGTTGCATTAGAAAATATGTTATCAATTGGTAGGATGCCATTTTTTAGTTTAGCTTCAGTTATGCCAATAATACTGAATTCATGGTTAATAAGAGATAAGAGTTTAATTCGTCAAAATTTTTCCCGATGTTGGCAGAGTTAAAACATTCTATTTCCATATATTTACAATTAATAGGGTTTTCTTCGATTTTACATCATTGTAATTGTTGTTATTAAGTTGATGGGAAATGAAATCATTAAGTTCATTATAAAGACTAGGCTCTATGGTGTTTGGAAAAGATAGTATGTCGTTTGAGAGCTCATTAAAATGAATCACTTTATCATTTATTGTTTGCAGACGCAGCTCCATATCAGATAAAGAACTAAATGAAAAAACATATTTCCTACATGGAATACAGAACCAAGATGTTTTATAGTTTTTCAATATCCTTAATTCCATATCATTAAGACGACAGCATTTTTTATGAAAAAGGTTTAGGTCATGATTACATTGAAGGTAGTGATGGTTTTTATTAATTTTCTTGAAACAATCTTTGTAGTGAGTAGACATTTAAGTAGTACAGTTTATAAAATGAAATGATTGAAGTGAAATAAAGTAACAAACAGTAATATGAACTTCAATATAACCAAAAATAATAAAAATAATAATAGTATTTATTAATAATATAATTATAATTCAATTAATAAAATAATAAAATAAAATAATATTTATTTAACAATTAAAACAAATAATGAAAAAAATATATACTATTAATAAAGTTAGGGAAGAATAACGTAAATATATATTAAAAATAAGTTATAATTAGTTAAATTATAAGTTATAAGTATAAAATAAAATAGATTAAATTCAAATAATAAAAAATTATGAATGAATATAAGCAAAATATTTTAGTTAGTGAAAATATATAATAATAAACTATAAAGTTTATACTTGGTATTATAAGTTAATAAGTAAAACTAAAACTAAAGTAATTAAGTTAACAAACTACATAGATGAATAAAAATAAAAATAGTAATAATAACAACAATAATAATAACAATAATAACAAGTATATATAATAATTAATAACAAGTATATATAATAATAAACAATAAAAGAAAAAAAGAAAAATTAACCAAACAAATAATTTGGAATAAATATCTTTTTTAGCAATTTTATAATGCAAAACTTTTAATTGACTTTTTCTACAGTTTTTTTTTATTAAAAAATTTTTATTTTATTACTTTATTAACTTTTTTAATTTTTAATTTTAAAATAAAACTATATATATATATATATATATATATATATATATATATATATATATATATATATATATATATATATATATATATATATATATATATATATATATATATATATATATATATATATATATATATATATATATATATATATATATATATATATAAATATATATATATATATATATATATATATATATATATATATATATATATATATATATATATATATATATATATATATATATATATATATATATATATATATATATATATATATATATATATATATATATATATATATATATATATAGTATGGTGCAAAACTGAACCAGAGTTTTTAAAAAAATACAAAATTATGGTTTATTTTGTTTTCGATATATTAGCGCTGTCTGGATTATTACAGTAGTAAAGTGCTAATTTTTATGACTTTTTACGCCTCCTCCTTTTACCCCAATTCACAAGTATTTTTATCTAGTGACAAATATCTTCTGACTCAGTTTTGCACCATACTTGATGAAGGCAATATCTTTATTATTTTTCTCAAATTAATTTTATAATTTTGATTATTTTAAATAATTTTCTGTTTTCATAAATTTTATTGTTTAAATTTATTGCTTTTGATAGTTTTTTAATAAAATGAGAATTTCAAAGACAGAGAGCAATTTAATAAAAAAGATGATTGAAGAAGGAAATACAACTCGTAAAATTGCTTCTAAATTAAAAGTTAGTCAAAGTACTGTGCAACGAATTAGAAAAAAATGTGGACATATTCTGAAAAAAAATGTTGGCGGTCGACCAAAGAAGTTGAGTGCAGTAGACAGTAGAAGAATAATCAGATATTTGACTACTGGAGAAGCAAAATCAACATGGCATGCAGCTAAACTTTTGCAACGTGATACAGGAAAAAATGTGAGCAGGTGGACAGTGCAGCGAGATCTCATAAAAAGTAAATTTCGAGCAATTGAAAAGAAGAAAAAACCATTACTTAGTAAAAAAAATATCAAAGCAAGATTAAACTTTGTAAAAAAATATGAAAACTTTACCGAAGATGATTGGAAGAAAGTTATTTGGTCAGATGAAACTAAAATTAATCGGTATAGCACAGATGGCCGCCAATGGAGCTGGAAAAGAGAAGGTGAACCATTAACCCAAAAAGATTTTATTCAGACAGTAAAACATGGGGGAGGCAATATTAAACTATGGGGGTGTATGACGGCTTATGGATTGGGACCTATTCCAAGAATAGTTGGAAACATGAATAAGGAAATGTATCTTGATATTTTACAGCATGAATTATTGGAAACTGTTGAAAATATGCCTTACCCAATAAATGAGGTCATCTTTCAACAGGACAATGACCCAAAGCACACTGCTAAAATGGTTAAGAATTGGTTAGTGTCGCAGGACTTTCAAGTGCTAGAATGGCCAGCACAAAGTCCTGATTCGAACCCAATAGAAAATTTGTGGTCACAATTAAAAAAAGCGCTCGTTAATAACTATTCTGACCCTCCATCATCCATTAATGTGTTATATGAACGAGTTCAAGAACAGTGGAAAAATATTTCGTTAAACCTTTGGGAAAATCTTGTAAAGAGCATAAATAGAAGATTAGCAGCAGTTAAAAAAGCTAAAGGATTATGGACAAAATATTAAAATTGACAAAAATTGACAGTTTTTTTATCGTGGTGCAAAAGTGATTCACCATGTTTTTCATTTATTATTTTGTAAGTAAATATTTTTCTTCAATAAATACTTAATAAAAATTGTTTTTTTAATAATAGTTCCTACCAGCAATATTAATTCTCAAAATGCTTAATTCTTTATAAGAAAATAAAAATATTATGCATTCCGGTTCAGTTTTGCACCATACTGTATATATATATATATATATATATATATATATATATATATATATATATATATATATATATATATATATATATATATATATATATATATATATATATACATAAACATATATATATACATAAACATATATATATATATATATATACAAACTTACAAATTAATTTAATTTTTAAACTTAATTTATCAACATAAAAAAATAACATACTATTTCTAACACGGTCAGCAAGATAGTTAGCACCATTAACTCCACCTTGAATTTCTTTATGTTCTAAACTGACATACTCAAGTCCTTCTCTCTAAAAATAATCATAAACATGTACTTTAATGCTAAATTTCTTTATCTCAATAAAATTAAATAAATCAAACAAACCTTAGCTTTGTTTGTTTTCTCATCTCCAAGGTTTTGCAAATACCATGCACTATTTTCAAGCTTAACGTTATTTAAACTAGCAATTTTTGACAATAAGACATTGATTAAAATCCTCTCGTCACGATGATCAATAGCTCTGTTTATTTCTTCAATACAATTTTTCACTAAAGAAGTTAATAACAAATTTATTTTAAAATTACTTCAGAAATTATTCTAATGCTGTAAAACTATTATTATTATCGTTATAAATTTATTTCAGATCGCATAGATTTATAGAGTAAATAAATAAATAACCACAACTAAAAAAAAATTGGAAAAAATGGTTAAAAAAAGCACAAACAGCTCTTAACTAAAGTAATGATGAAATCTAAGAGTTTGAACATAGTAGAATACTGTCAAATGTAAGTAAACCAAGTATAAAAAACATAATAGTAAGGCTATTCTGAAGTTTATAATCAAAAAGTATATTTACATACTTTGTGTGTGTATACATATATATACAGGCCTTGTTAAGAAGCGTTACGCTGTTTGCATTTTATGTACGACAATGACAATTTTACCTATGCGTTAAGCCATTTAGGGATCGTCCATAAAGTACGTACGCTCGGAGAGGAAGAGGGGGTCTGCAAATGTCGTTTCTGAGATAAGTGGGCAGTAGGTTAATTATAAAAGTATGGAGACACTAAATTAAAAAAAAAATGTTGGATTGGTAGGTTAAAAGCGTAGGTACTTTTAGGGAGGTAGAGAGTAATCAAAAAAGTATATGGTAAATTGTGTGAAAAAAAGCATATGTACTTTATGGATGACCCCTTACGCCACACCAAAACTTTTATTAATTGGAATATTTAAACAGTCTTTTGAAATAAAAACAAAAAAAAAACAATAAATGTTTCGACTAAAACTAGTCATCTAAGGTTAAAATTAAATATTTAAAAGTTGATTAACTACCTATAAAGGTATTAAAAAACAAAATGTAATCACAAAAAAATAAATTCAAACGTTGAACATGCCATACTAAAAAAATAAGAAATAACAAAAGAATAGGTCAAAAAGACAACGTGTATAGAGAGTAATATCTAAAACAGAAAATAAAAGAAACAGAAAATGTCATTTGGATAGTTAAATAAATTTTTCTCTACTTTCCGTTTTTTAATTCAAGTTTATTTTATTATATTTAAATTAAATTTATAATTAAATATTATTAAACTTAAATTTATTTCATTAAATTTAATTTAATTAAAAAAAAAAAATTAAACACTCCATTTTACAATTTATTTTACTTTTAAAATATCCAAACTGTGTCAAAGAAAAGATAATTCTTTTTATCAAATTTAATTTACAATTTAAGTTACTTTTTTATGTTTGTTTTACATTCAACTATTTTGTTTATTTATTTATAGTTTCAAATCAATAATTATTTTTTATCCCATTACAAAAGTGCTAATATACAAAAGTAATTAACCTATTTATAACTGTATATAAATGCATTAGGAATAAAGCATAATCAAGACTGAAAACAAAATTATTTTAGAGAATTTTTTTGATAAACTTTATAAATTAAATTTGTGAAAAAATTATTTTTATAATTTTGAAATTACTTTTTAACAAAAGTAGTTTCATTATCATTAATCTTTTAGGTTGATTATAGAATGAACGCTGATTAGAAATGATTAACTAGTTTATGAGTAGTAGGCGAAGATTTTGTTTAGGTCAAAATGTTATAAAAATTGTTGATAGTTTTTTTATTGACTGTCAAGAAATTCAACCATAAACAATTATACCCATTAAATAAAAAAAACAACAGCTAAATTGCGAGAAAACAAACATAAGACAATAATGTTGTGTTACCAATGTTTTAAGAATGAATGTTTATTCAAACAATATATTTAAGTTTTACTGATATTTTTACATATAATGATATTGTTTAATTTAAAGATACTTTATAAATATTTTACAAAAATTAAGACTTGAAATGATTTTTAATGTGGCTTTAAATGAAATTTAATATGATACTTTAAAATACACAACTGACATAATTTAACTTTTAACAATGCAAAATATGTAAATATTAAGTAAAGTTACATTTACTTACTTAACGCTTTTCTGTTACACACCAAAATCTCATAACAAGGCCTACATATATATATATATATATATATATATATATATATATATATATATATATATATATATATATATATATATATATATATATATATATATATATATATATATAGGCCTTGTGATGAATAAAAACTGCGCGACGCATAAGTGCGACGTGATTTTTGACGTCATTAGATTATTTTTATTTGCTTTTCATATTTATCGACATTAACTGCACCAATTTACTTAAAGGGATCCCTAAGTGCTCCTAACATATGATCTCATATGAAAGAGCATAAAAAAAAAATATGTAAGTTTTTTTTCTTTTTCACTAAATTGTAATAATAAATGCATGCTAACAAAAAGCAGTTGCCGAAATTACTAAAAAACAACTCCATTTTGATTTTATTTTTTCACCATCGAAACTCGATTGTTAGTCGTTAAAAATCACGTTAGTACGTCACAACAACTTTAGAATATCTACTTAGATTTTCACGTAAAAAAAAGCCGTGATTAAATAGTTAAGTTTTTTTAATTAGTTTTGCAAAAACAGTATAATAGAAAGACGTCTTAAAAAAAAGTTATTAAGTAATAGTTTTAAATAGTTTAGAACTTATAAAAAAGTCTTACAGGGCTCGTATTAAGCGTATCGCGATCGCGATTGCTACACACACTTTTGTGATTAGTTTTTTCTTAAAAAAAATTCTTTTCGCGACTTTTTTTTTTTTTTGGTTGATTAATTACTTTTTTTCTAGCTTAGCATTTTTTTTAGTAATTCTTAAATGTAATGTTTTTATCATAAAGAACGTCACACAAAATTTATTATTCTGAATAGATAGATGAATAGATGGTTTGCTCTTTCGCATGGAGATTTTCTTTCAACGTAAAACATTTTTGAATTTAAATTACTTTAAATCTCTGCGTGGAAAATTTTTACAAGGTCGTTAAAGCGAAAAGTTGAAAAGTTGGTTTTTATCTTTGTTTATCAAAACTTCATGTTTAAAATAAGGCTTAAAAACGTTAGAGCAAAAAAATTACTGACTTTAATTTGCATTTTTATACTGTTTGAAAAAAACAACTAATAAAAAAGAATTAATTGTTATTATTATTAATTCTAATAATTATTAATTAATATATTATTAGTTAATTCTTTTTTATTAGTTTTTTTTTTTTCAAACAGTATAAAAAAGCTAATAAAAACCAGCAATTTTTTTACTTTAACGTTTTTAAGCCTTATTTTAAACATGAAGTATAATTCGATTTATTAAACCAAATTTTTTTGTTTCATCTTTTATTGGAAAACTTGAAATAGAAAAATTGAATAAAAACATCAACTATTTAGATGAAAAACTTAATTATATTTAAACTTTTATTAGTCCTTTATTCAAGAAACAATAAATTATAAAAAACGTGGTATCTAATTTTTTATTAAGTTTTTGACGATGTTTTTTGATTTATTGATGATAATTTTTCCCCCCATTACCGCACATTGGCGCGAGTTATAAGAAAGAGAGGGCAAAAAAAAAATTTTTTTTCGCGATTAGATTTTTTTTGCGTTAATTCGAGCCCTGTCTTAGTTTAATTTCTAATAAAATGTCTATTCAACCTTATCAATTTGAACCAAAAAAATATAGCAATTTAACATAAATGTTAATTTAACTAAAACATTTTACAATAATTATTTTTTTTATCAAGCAAAAATGAGAGTAACCGTCACTTTAGAAACCATAAAAATTACTGAAATAAATTTATTTTTCTACTAAGGAAATATTTTAAATAAACTTTTGTGTGTCTAAGTCAATATTCATTTGTTTTTACCTGATTAAAAAGAGTTTAAAATTTGACTTCTACTCATTTTTAGCTGTGCCCTTATACTCATTTTTAGCTGTGCCCTTATAACACAAATATATAAATTTAAATTATAAAAAAAATTTTAATATCCAAATATATTTTCACAAAATGCTACAAAACTTATTCTTGTAAGTAATTATGTGTTAGTTGAAAAAAAAAAACGACTTTACTTTTAAATTTAATTACCAACTAATAAGTTTGCAATAATGACATTTTGTCTACTTTGTTTAATTTGACGTACAAACGTTAGTTTTTTGAGGCAATAGAGCCAATAAACTTTGGACAAGACGCATTTTTTTTAATCGAAGAAAAACGTTTTTTTGAAAATTAAATTTGTTAGTGTGTGTTCATTATTACGTTTTAGAAAAAATAATATACATCAAACATTTTTTTTTTTTATGCTCTTTCATATGAGATCATATTTTTATAGCACTTAGGGATCCCTTTAATTACCGCTAAACTAATTTAAATCATTTATGTCGAAATATTATTTTAAAATGTTTTGGAATGTTTCGTTTTTTAAAATGTAAAAACATTTGTTTATTTTCTCGATGTTTGACACGTTTTGTCTATACTAAACGAATAAAAAACATAAAAAAGATTATAAAATATGCTAATATTTGATTTTTTTTTCCTCAAATATGTAATTTAAAGTTTTTTAAATAATTAATTTTTCTTTTTAAAAAGTCAGCGAGTAATAAACTGGAAATTATAATATTGTAGGATTAAAAACTGTGCAATAGCTAATAATTTTACTAGCGATTTTATATAATATTTATTTATTTATTTTTATATATTTTCATAAAACGGTTGATAAGCACAATCACTTGTATTACTAAAAAACTTTAACGAACGTTTTGAATAGATTTTTAATGTTTACAAGGAATTTTTTTTGATAAATTTTTGGTAAAATAAAACAAAATGTTAGAATAAAAATCTTATAGGTATAAAAGAAATATTTCAGTGAAAAAATTATTCTTAAAATTTATTCTTAAAAATAATTCGAAAAACTATTGACGTTCTATTTTTAAGCAGCTGTTCTTGAGCACGCTTCGTTGAGTAACTTTTAACAAAAAAGCGATTGTTATTAAGTAATTTTTTTCGAGTTACTTTTTACAAAAATTTTAATCGCTGCACTTTTTTATTGAACCAAGTAGAATGTGTTTTGATATTAATCCTTTCATTTTTTTTTATTTGCGCTTACCAATTTTTAAAATGTTTCCTCGAAATTACTCTTAAATACTTTAAATACGTCTAACAGTTAATAAATATTTTTAAATCTATGGAATAATTTTAAAACCTAACAAACCCCCGTAAAATAATTATTTAAGTTAAAAATCTAAAACTAAAAGAAAGTATTTTTGTTCAACTTTATCGACAACTTTGCTATTGCTGAATAATTTTATTAAAATGTTAACTTAAAAAGATTTAAAAAAAAGATTTAAAAAGATTTTAAAAAAATTAAAAAAAAAGCTTAAAAAACTTTTTTTATTATCTGAATTTTTTCTACTTGTAAATAATGAGCATATTTAATTTTTTTGTAATTCAAACTTTTATATCAACTGCGTGCGGTTTTTAAAATACTTTATTAAATGTTAAAATAATTGTAAATTACTTCATTAAAATTCCGCTCAAAAATATCTTTAAATGTACTCAAACAAAAATTTTTTTGCTCGACGCAAATAGCCCTAGCTACACGCAAAATCGCTCTTGGACGACGTAAAATTCACATTGCCTGACACTTTATCGCAAGGCCTGTATATATATATATATATATATATATATATATATATATATATATATATATATATATATATATATATATATATATATATACATATATATATACATATATATATATATATATATATATATATATATATATATATATATATATATATATATATATATATATATATATATATATATATATATATATATATATATATATATAAACAAATCTTAAACCTTTGCTAACTTCACGCAACAAAACTATGATCAAATACCTATTCCAGAGTATACTGAATAGAATGCAAGTGTAAAAAAAAATACACCAGCGAAACAAAAATGAAAATAGCAACAAGAAAAAAACAGCACCAAAAAAATGTTTTTGAAGAAAAATTGGAACAATCTGCAATTAGACATCATAAAATTAAATGTCCATGTAATATAAAATGTCCGTGTATTACAAAATGAGATCAAGTAAAAACGTTAAAAATAGAACCCTAAAAATTTGAGAAGAAAAGTTTGAGAAATAACGAAATTCAGTTTATATTTGTATATAAATGTGGATCTAAGAATAGAGGTATGAATTTAGATGGTTGTCAGTATGTAAAAACGCAACTCTGGACGCAATATTTTTTATACTTACATAACATTAAAGAAGCCCAATTAAAGCAAACTTTAAATAAGCCATTAAAAAGTGAAGTTACTGTTTGTAATTAAATTTAATTAATAATTTGTAACTAAAGCTGAAAATGTTCGTATCAAAAATCTAGCAAAAACTTCTTAGATTAAATAAAAAAATTAGTATTGAGAGAATTCATGTTTATTGATGTTCATATATTAAATTAATTCAACTCTCATACAAGATGTCGTCATTTAATATATATATATATATATATATATATATATATATATATATATATATATATATATATATATATATATATATATATATATATATATATATATATATAACCTTTTGAATTTGGATTTTTTGCCAACCTTTGAGGTCGGTAAAAAATCGCCAACCTCTATGTTTTATGGTCAAACCTTTGTTTTACATTATTTATGCTGACCTCACACATATATAAAGTAGATTTTATGTATTTGTGTAACAGAGTTTTGGAAATCATAAAATTTTAAATTGCTTTTCATATTTATTGACAAACTTTTTTGAACTACTGCAATTTACTAAATTACAGCTAAACTAAATTAATTGAATGATTAACTCAAAACAATGTAGAGATGTTATTATGTAATAATGCTACCAAATGATTCTGGTTCTTGCTCGTTTTATTTTTTATTTAATTCGTAGTATTTATTTATTTTTTATATTTTTTAAGTGTCTATTAAGTGATAAAACTAATCATTATATAGAGACCATTTTTAAACAACTAATTTTTTAGGAGCCAAGCTAAATTAGTTAAAAGTAAAGTTTTTTATTTTAATGCTTTATTGCTGGTTGTTGCTATATTTCCAATACCTGAACAAATGTAACTTAAAAAACTAATGTTGTCTAAATAAATATTCATACGCTTGTTTGATATTTTGATGAAAGTTGGTTTTATAAAAACTCAAACTTTTTTTTATCTTTACTAATTTTTTTTTTTTTTTTTTAAATCATGAGCATATTTTAAGTATTAGTAATAAAAACTTTTGCCAGAACAATGTGCAGTTTTAAAAATGCTAACTGGATTAAAATACCGCTTAAAAACATCTGTAGAGTTATTTAAATATTCCCAAACAAAAATGTTTATAGTGTAACATTAAATGGCTCTTTGCGTACATAAAATGCTCTAAGCTTGACACTTTACCACAATATATACACTATACACTATACACACACATACACACAGAATATATATATGTATCACATTACTGTAGTGTAAAACTAATTAAATGTGCAAAACAAATAAAGAATAACATTTAATAAAATACTTACAATTAACTTTATTGACGTGACCTTGAATTTCAGCTTGAGTTAAGTTGCGATCATATACATCAAGATCAGTCTCTTGTTTTTCTTTTATTTCATATTGAGCCAACTTTTGTTTTTTAGATTCATATAATATGCTATGATAATCTGGTGATAGACTTATCGTCAAGTCAGAAAGTCGTGCATCAGGATTTTGGAGAGCTTTCATTGTTTCAGCAGGATTATTGGTCTCAAGAGCTTCATTTATGGCAATAATTGCAGCATGTAGTGCAGCGTCATTATCAGACATCTCATTAGCCAAGATTCCACCAATTTTGCCAAAATGGGGCATCTGAATTCCATATTTATCCAATGCAAGTTTCATGGCATTAATCTCTTCAGCTAAAATTTTTCTTGTAACATCAATTTCATTACATAAATAAGTAATATTTACACTTTAACAATTTTTTTTTAGCTTTTAATTTATTTTTTTTGAGCTCAATATTAAAAATTAAAAAAAAAAAAAAAAATTATTCTACAATCAGAATTTTAGTATAGAATCTTTTTAGGGGAAAATATTAATTTCAAAAATTGATAAAACAAAAATTATTTTAAAAAAATGTCTAGTTTAACATATTTATTCTAGATCTAGGATAATAATAGAAACAAAGCTGGCAAAAATCATTTTTAAAAATGTAATGGCAATTTAATAATTTAAAGGAAAGCTTTAAAAGTAGAGATAATCACAAGCAGAACTAAAGTAAAGATAATCACGAGCAAAAGTTGAAGTGCTTGATTAAGTATAGTAAAATAATAATTCAATTTAACAGACAAAAAAAAAAAAAAAAAAAAAGATGAAATGAAGAAAACTGACAGAAAATCATTTCCATATTGATCATTAGTAAAATGTTTAAGCACTTAAGTGACAAAAATAAAAAGTAAGCAACTAATAACCTGTAAAGGTAGCTTTTCCATACAAATCCTGAATTTGTGGCGCAACACCAAGTTTGTATAAATATAAACTAAATAAATTACATAAATTTATAAGAAACAAATTAGACGAAACTAATTGACAAAAAACAATGAACTAGACCAAATGCCCACAATATAATTACTATAAGATAATTTTAGGCTTTGAATCAGAATGGTACTCGCATGCTATTGTTTGCTTTAAAGATAAATATGCTATTTTTGAAATAAAAATTACAAAAATAATAAAATTATTACTATATTTTTACTTTAAAGTATAATTTATATATATATATATATATATATATATATATATATATATATATATATATATATATATATATATATATATATATATATATATCATTATAACTTGCCTAAGTGCATGAATGCAGTATATTGCTCTTGGCATATTCTTCATATCATAAATATCTGTTGTTTCAGGGTAAAAAACCTAAAAAAAAAATCAACAGTAAATTTATTAGGTTTAAAACCTTTGTATTTTGCTTGTTTTATGAATATTTTATGATAACACCAGTTATTAAAAAGTACAAAAAAGACTTACCGGTGGAAAACTAATCTTTTCCATGGCTCGTATAAAATACATAATATTATCTGTATGTCTGAAGTGCAAACCTCTCTCCTTAAAAATGTAAAACAACATTTACTATTATTATTTTTAATAACTATTTAACTTTTTGTTTAAATATTTATTCAATTTAATATATTTATAAAGATTTATATATATATATATATATATATATATATATATATATATATATATATATATATATATATATATATATATATATATATATATATATATATATATATGTGTAAAAATGTGTATACAAGTATGATGTATACATACCATTTATATTTAAACATTAGGTACCAATTAATAAAAATGTTTCCTTTCACTTAATACATTAATGTTTCTCGCATCAATTTCAATTGACTAAAGATCTTGTCATATATAAATATGTCTCAATGTTGTAAGGTTGTTTAACTTTTCTACAAATAATAATAACAGTTAATGCTCTCCTCGTCTTCTGTTCCAACTTATAATTGATTATCAAAATTGATGTGATATAATTATCATTTAATTGAATCACATCCTTTAAAGGGACCCCAAACTCCCAACACATATTGTGTTCATATTAAAGATAATGTTAAAAAAAAGGTTTGAACCAAGTTTTTTTGATTGAAAATAAATAATGAATGCATACAGAGAAAAACTAATGTTGTTGTTTTAGCCGAAGCTTGCCTTCATCATTTTTTTTTCAATAACTCGGAGTCTTCAAATTATACGTCACAATCTTTGAGACGTATAATTTGTAAATCACAGACTTCGGCAATTCCTTTAAAGCGCGTTTAATTCATAAAAGTTTTAGTATTTGATATCACGGTAGACTTTTAACAAATGAAACTCTGGAAATATTTTTATTTATTTTTATTCGAAATATTTTTGGTTTGTTTAGTTTTTTTTTTCTATTTTTAACATTTAAAAAGATATTGAAAACCTCAAATATTTTATGCTGGTTCGTTGCTGTAAATTGTTATTGCACCATATATTTAATGTTTATAAATTATGAATATTTATTATCTAAATCAAGACTCTGATAAAAAATGGTTTTACATTAATTACCCATATAAAATTAGTAACAGCTTTTTTATTTGGTAAGACAATATTTCGTTTCAATTTGCTTTGCATGAAGTTCGTAAAGTCAAACAAAAAAAATTAGTTTGAATAATCACGTCGAAATATATTTAAAACAAATTATTTTAATGAGGGGGGTTCTAAAGTTTTTTATAACAAATGTAGGTAAAAAATAAATAACTAAATAAAAAGTTCAACATTAAACATCATTTTTTTATTATAATGCAACTATAAATATTGAAATATTAACTTGAACTAAATTTACTTATTATTTAGAACGACTAAGCAATAAAAATAAAATGTCCCTAAAATTATGCGAGATTGTGTTGTTTATTTGATAATTGTTGTTGGTAATGTTGTTTATGTTGATTATTTTCATTAATATCAAAATAGTCCCAGATTAATCTATTAGATGCTTTGTTTATTGTTGATTTATTTCTAATTTAATTTTATCTCAAAGTATAATTTTATGCTAAAAAAGAAAAGTTTTTATTTCATTGCATGCTCTTTTTATAAAAGAGTAGAACAAAAGAGAAAGAAAAGTTTCGCATAATTAAATTTCAAATGAAGAGTTGTATAGAATATATATATATTTTTTTTGCGTCACTCATTCTTTTTTTAGATGAGAGAAATAAAAGTTTAATTTTAACTTTTCTTTGAATAAATGAGAATTGGAAGAGAAAATTGCTTGAAAATTTGTATTTGTTAATTGTGTTTTTAAAAATTTTTCATTTTTCATTTTAAAAGACAAATGCAAAATACGATACAAATTGGGAAATATAATATGTTTTTCAACGCGCGTTATGACATTTTGACAATTTAAATTACCATCTATCTTGAACTGTTGCCATTAATTAATGTGTTAATTACTGCGTTATTTAATAATAATTCAGGCCTCGGCGGGAAGCGAGAGCTTTAGCGCTCGCTCTCGCCCACACACCCCCTTAAAACAGTTTACAGGAGCAATTTACGGCTCTCGCAAAAGTATAATTTTTCTCATGAAGGTATAATTAAAATTACAAAAGAGTGCAAATTTAAATGAGGAGCAGCTCGCACAGCTCCCCAAATTCGTTTTAGGAGAGCTTTTCTCAGCTCTCGTGCTCATTTGTTCCCGCCGAGGCCTGATAATTTATTTGTATTTTTGTTAAATATTAGTTGTATAAAACAGGCGAAAATATACGTACTTCATGTTTTTAATTTGATGGTTATAAAATATTGAACAGTAAACATATAATCAAAATTTATAATGCCGACTTGTGTTGCTATTAACTGTACTTTTAATGCAAAACCAGGATCTTGCGTATTCTTTCACAAATTTTCATATCTGATACTACTGTCAACTGTATTGTTTAGTGTATTCTTGTACTTTTTTTTCATAACCTTAACAGGTTCTAATTGGTATGGAGTTGCCAACATTTATAAGTTTCATTATCAAAAACCAAATGTAAAATGAAATGATATTTCTTTTTTATCCGTATCCAATTCAGCAAATTTAGCAATTTTAATTAAATCAGCGTAATCAAAAAATTTTTATAATAAAAAAAGTTAACAATTCATCAAATATCTCTAATTAATACTGTCAGTTTATGAAAGTAATTGTTAATAAGTACTTTTTTCGACGGGAAAAAAAAAATTGTCATTGTGTAAAAATAACCAGAAGTTAGAAAATAGTTCCCATTGTTTAAATAAAAATAAGTAAGAATCAGAATACAGGCTTGGACAGGAATGGTGTGCAATCGAGCGCTATTGCTGACCACGCTAATGATTTTATTTTTTGACAACTTGACAACGTTGTCAAAAAATAAAATCATTGATTGTTTAATAAACAATGTTTATATGTTTTGATGAGTTAAAAATTTCAGAAATGTTCTGAATGTAGAAATGCTAAGCTAAACTAAAACTAGGAAAAAAATTAAAAAAAAAAAACTAACGAAAAAAAATTTCCAAATGAAAAAAGAAATGAAAAACAAATTCATAACGAAAAAGAAATTATATAAGCACTAAAATGAAAATAAAAACTTAAACTCAAAGCAAAACATTTTGTTACATTTTTAATTACGTATGAAATAAACGTTATTAAAGCTTATCTTTTAAAGCGTTATTAAAGTTACACAAAACGTTTTTAAATTAACTAACAAATTCCTTTTAATGATTGGTTTAATAAAATAACAAATTTTATTAAATTTATTAAAAAGTGTTTTATATAATATTTTTAAATTGTATAAACATTTATTTTGTCAAAAAAGTTGCAAAAAAATAAAAAATTTTTTTAAAATAATGTAGTCTTTTTAAAATAGCAATTTTTACTAATTTCATGCTCTAATTAGTTAGTCTAATTAAAAAAAAGGTTTTTAAATTTTTTATTCGTAAAAATAGAAAAAATAAATAAATAAAATGCACCTGCGATTTAAATAAAATAAACTGCCAACAAGCTTTTTAACTCAATTTTTATTTGAGCATTCAACTTTATTAATAAGCGTTTCGCGTAACGAATTTAAAAATTATTATAAAAAATTTAATCTCATTCATTTCTAACAAAATTGAAAGTAAAAAAAAAAAATAAAAAAACTGTTCACAAAAAATAAAATGCTTATTTAAAACATTTTAAAAAATCGTAAGTTTAATCAAAAAAATTAATCGTATGAACATTACAAAATGCTTTAAAACTTTTTCATTAAATCAACAAAGTACATGCTTATATAAGTAAATAAAGTTATTTTATATTCTTGTGTAATTCACATAAAATGTGTAAAAGTTAGCAGTCACAAAAGCTTTTGAACTTATTCATAAATTAAAGTAACATAAAAAAATTCTTTCTAAAAATAATGGTTTAAAAATGTTTTAGGAAGACATAAGAAAATAGTTTTAAACGCTTAAATTTATCATAAAAAATAAATGCCTACATAAAAAAAAACTTATAACATTTTTATTAATTTACACCAAGGGTTGAATTAACGCATCGCGATTTGCGATATCTGTTAAATTATCTGGTCTTCAAAGTTTCAGTTTATGGAAAACCACGAAATTTACGGAATAGGCGAATAAACTTTAATTTGTTAGTAAAAATGTTATGAAAAACAAAACAATAAATTTATGACTACAAAAGTAATAATACTACAGTGTTGTTACTTTTATAACACTCTTTTAAGTTACATTTATAGTTTATTGTTTGATCAAACAACACCTAATCAAGATATTATAAATAAAAATGATTTAGTTAAGTAATTCCAAACTTTAATTAAAGTAGTAATGGATCTTGAAAAAATACAATGGATATTTAAACAATGTTAAAAACCTCAGCAACTTTTACGAATACATATTTTTATAAACAGTTTAGCATTTCTAAACATCTTACTAACGGTCCGGAAAAAACGCGCTTTCACTTTAAAATCAACCAATGAAAACACTGATAATTTACTTCTTAGGAGAAATCTATATTAAAAGGGGAGGGGGGAGGAGGCTATAAATTTAAATTTTGTTTTATTATTTAATCAATTAAATCATAATAAAAGTAAAGACAAAAAAATATATTTCTAAATATACTTCTTTATAACTAAAATTTATTAAATAGAACACCTCTGTTTTTAGTTTTAAGTAAATGTGAGTACTACTCTCAGTGGCGAAACTGCAGAGGGGGGAAGGGGGTAGCAGACAAAAAGTGTCCTATTTTTAAGCTAATTTTAGGTTGCATGGGCAATGTGGGGCTTATTTTGAAAATTGTGGGGGGGGGGGGGAATTTTGCTACTGACTACTCTAATGTGCTTAATACAAAGGTAGGTGGGGGTGGGAATTTTAGTCAGGATGTATAAAATGGAAGGAGGAAATAATAAAAAAAAGTTTTTTGTTTATAACAAGTGACTTGTTATAAACAAATAACACGATTTTCAAAATCAGCCCCATATCGCCCATGCAACCTAAAATTAGTTTAAAATCAGGACACTTTTTGTTTGTTAACCAAAGCCCCTCCCCCCCTCCCCCGCAGTTTCGCCACGGAGAGTAGTACTGACATTTACTTAAAACTAAAAACAGAGGTGTTTAATAAATTTTAGTTATAAATTTAATAAATTTTAGTTATAAAGAAGTATATTCAGAAATATATTTTTTTGTCTTTACTTTTATTATGATTTAATTGATTAAATAATAAAACAAAATTTAAGTTTTCAGCCTCCCCCCCTCCCCTTTTAATATAGATTTCACCTAAGAAGTAAATTACCAGTGTTTTTATTGGTTGATTTTAAAGTGAAAGCGCGTTTTTTCCGGACTGTTAGTAAGATATTTAAAAATGCTAAACTGTTTATAAAAATATGTATTCGTAAAAGTTGCTGAGGTTTTTAACATTGTTTAAATATCCATTGTATTTTTTTTAGATGCATTACTACTTTAATTAAAGTTTGGAATTACTTAACTAAATCATTTTTATTTATAATATCTTGATTAGGTGTTGTTTGATCAAACAATAAACTATAAATGTAACTTAAAAGAGTGTTATAAAAGTAACAACACTGTAGTATTATTACTTTTGTAGTCATAAATTTATTGTTTTGTTTTTCATAACATTTTCACTAACAAATTAAAGTTTATTCGCCTATTCCGTAAATTTCGTGGTTTTCCATAAACTGAAACTTTGAAGACCAGATAATTTAACAGATATCGCAAATCGCAATGCGTTAATTCAACCCTTGTACACAAGCATTTATGTAAACAATAACTAAAATTAATTTTATGGTTTTATTTAAAGCCTTTGCGCAAAATAAAAAACTTTAGAAAAGATCAACGAATAAATGATATTTATAACGTAACAATTTTTTTATTGCATTCAAATTGTTAAAACATCAAAATAGCCGTGGTCAAGTTGTAAAAAAACAAAAATATTAACGTGGTCAATTACAGAGTGTGATGGCACGCCATTCCTGTCCAAGCCTGAGAATATATAATACTGCGCTCTCTTGCACAAAAACAAGAGACAATATATAAACGTTCTATATAATGTAAAATACTCGTATGAAAATCATAAGATTGGTAAGTAAAGCTTTAATATTTGTTTTAATTTAAAAACAAAAGAAATATTAGTAAGATATATAAATCTAAGATATCTGTAAAAATAAGTTGCTCCTATAAAATAAAAATAATTTATTGTTTTTACTTTTTACAAATTTTTTTTTGCAATGTTTGCAAAAATAATACAAATAAATTTGTTTTCCTGCATGTTAAAGTAATACTACATTGTACTTTTCGAATTAAAGCAGAAAAACGCAGCTTTGTGTAATTACACTTTTCATTTGTTAAAAATCTACAGTGACGTCAAATACCAAAACTTTTATGAATTAAACGCACATCAAAGGAACCGCTAAAGTCTGTAGATTGTGACGTATAATTTGAAGACTCTGATTTATTGAAAAAAATGAAGGCAAGCTTCGGCTAAAACAACAACATTGGTTTTTCTCGATATGCATTCATTATTTATTTTTAATCAAAAAAACTTGGTTCAAACCTTTTTTTTTAACATTATCTTTAATATGAACACAACATGTGTTAAGAGTTTGGGATCCCTTTAACAGTGACATACAGTGACAATTTTGTCCAATAATTAAAAAAAAAATTGTGAAAAATCACCTGCAACTTTTATCTTTAAAAAAATATATTTTACAGTAATTCATTTAATATAATCAATAGGGCAAGCATAAATATGATCTAAAAAACATGTTTTATATGCTAAATCATGTCCTGAAATACCAACAATAAGTTAAAAGATAAAAACATGCTGGTAAAACTTTCTTTTTTTCCTATGCTTTACCTTATTTGTATTAATTTATTTTAGCATGGTAATAAGCACCGAAAACACTTCCATTCATACAAACTAGTAACTGACGTTAAAAATATAATTCTTTAAATCTTGAATAAAGTTTTTGTTACAGTAAATAATAAACATTTTGAAAAAAAAGAAAACTTTGTCATAGAGAATTATACATATAAAAATAATTTATACATAGAGAATCTTTGTTTAACATCTACAGATGTTATTGGGTCTCTGCAATAGTATAATTTTAAGTTGAATTAATAGATAATTCACATAGCTCTAATCCGCTTAATATATAATAAAATCCAATTCATAGATAATCCACTCTGAGGAAACTTTCTTTTAAATATCAAACCTATATGTAATGTATATATTTTATTGACATCTTTGCTAAGTTGTTTCTTACTCAATTTGTCACTAAGCCCACTTTTTAATCTGATGAAATCACAGCAAACAACATCTAATTATAGCTGAAAATGAAAATCGAGTTCTTGATATTATTTGCCATGCACTTTTAACATCTCTGAAGAAATCTCACCATGTCCTTCAATGGGATTACGCTATTAAAAGTGCCCAGTGGTAGATAAATCGGTAGAAAAACACATTTATTACAAAAGTAATTTTGTAAAAATATATGAATATTTTAACAAAATTGACTGGCAGATGGAATTCAACGGACGCAATACTAATGACTGCTATAACATTTTCTTGAATCACTATGAAGCTGCTTGGTAAACTAATGTCCCAGTAGCTAAATCAAAATGGATTTGTTGAGGAATTGAATAGAAAAATAAACTGAAAACTAAAAATAAACTATGATTTCTATGAAGAGCGAGTGGGTATAAAAATCTAAAGTAATCTAAAGTGAAGTAAACTAGTAAACATATACAAAGCAGGAAATAACCAATTAAAGAAGCTCATAAATTAAGCTCATCATGAGTTTGAATTTGACTTGGCTATAAAATCAACGCACAACCCAAAGATTCAAGTATTTGAATAGTAACCAAAATGTTAAAACTACTATAACTGCTTTAAATGAAATCGTGAAATTACCATGACCTATATCTTTAATATCAACTGTATGTAAAGTGATGGAGAAAATAATACATGACAATAAGGTCAATCATTTAATCGAGTGTAATCTTAATTCAAAAAATCAACATGGATTTATTAGTAAAAAAGTGTGTGTGACTAATTTATTGGAGTCAATAGATTTTAGTAAAGCAATTAATATGGTTCCACACAAGTGACTAATTCACAAATATATAATTATGAGGCATATGGTTTCGCTGAAAATCTCCTGAATTGAATAAAATCATTTTTACATCAGAGGTTCCAAGGAATCATGATAGATGATTGCATGTCATTGTGGTTGGAGGCATTAGGTGACGTTCCTCAAGGATCCACCTTAGGTCCAATTCTATTCATTATTTTCATAAATGAGGTACCTGATATTGTTATTCACCTCTGTAAAATGTATGCAGATGAAACGAAACTGCTGGTTCATTTAAACCACTCATTAACTACACAAAAACTCTAAAGTGATATCAACAACAAAGTCAAGTGGTGTAAAATCTGGCATATAAAAGTCAATACCAACAAATGTTAAATCATGTACATAGGTAAAAAAACAACCTTTATGCCTACTTAATGCCAGCTAATAATAATAATAGCATGGAGTTTGTATCAACTTTAGTCATTTGATTTGGGCATTATGGTAACACCAGATTTAAAATGCCATTATAATTTAGCCTATGCAATCAATAAAGTCAATTGTGTTCTAGACATGTTGTATCGCACATTCAGTATCATGACTCCACAACTTCCTAAAATTTTATACACAACGTTTGTACGCCCTTATCTAGAATTTCCGGTAGCAGCCAGCAATCCTTTGTCAAGAGTGGATACTGATAAAATTGAGAAAGTACAAAGACATGCAACCTGTTTAATACCTACATACAATCGACTATCATACAAAGATCGTTTAAGTCAGCTAAATTTAACTTTTTTAGAAGAACATTGAATTAGAAGAGATAAAATTGTTACTGAGATAAACATTGTTCCATGGCAAAAAATCCATATTTTTTGTATTTGGTTGGCAAAATAAAAACTAGAGGTCATCATCTAAAATTGACAAGAGAATTCTCACAAAATTGCAAGCTAAGGCATCTGTTTTTTATAGAGTAGTGAATCATTGGAATGCATTGCCATCAGACATGCGCTATATTTGTTTCAAAGCTAAGCTCGATGCAGAAACTTCAAATAATCCACATAAATACTGAGATTATAACTAAATGAAAATACAAAAGTACAACATACTTTATACTATATTTCCATGTAATCTTTATATATTGATTTAAATATAAATTTGAGTATGAAGTAGATAAGACTGCCATAACCTATAGTTTATACAAGGAAACCTGTTGCAGCATTTTAATACTGCTGCTACTACTACTACTACTACTACTACTACTACTACTACTACTACTACTACTACTACTACTACTACTACTACTACTACTACTACTACTACTACTACTACTAATAATAATAATAATAATAACAACAATTTAATTGAGAACTTTAACAAGAACCTAAATCCACAATATTGAAACTAAATCAATTTAATTGAACATAACTACTAAATGTTTTAGTCATTAGCATTAAAAAACTTGTTATACAAAATCTAAATTAATGAATAGAATAATTTCTCTATTTCAAATTATTCAAAATAATTAAAAATGCTACCTTGTATCTAGTTAGGTCTTTATCAAATATTTTTCTAAGAGGGACAACATTAGGTGCAAAGAAATGTGCAAGTTTTGCTAAAATAACACCATTTGTGAGACCTTGTTCTAATTCTGTTGTAGGTGGCACCTCTTCATGTATACATCCTTCTAGCCATCTATAAAAGAAATTTAATTAAAAAAAAAAAAACTTTTACAAGTATTTATAAAAACTGAATGCTTATCAATAATTATTACTACACTAGCTATAACTTATAAAAAAGCAAGACCTTTTTTAATTCTGGGTATAACTCATTAATTTCATCAGTCACTTAATTCAATCAAGAAAAGACTATTAAAAAACTAAATAAAAACTAGTAGACAAAAAACTTGTTACCCTTATTGTTACTCAGGAATAAATCATGTAAATAAATACATTATATAAGTCAAGTCTGTGTACATATCAAACTACAGTTTCAATGTGTCTTATGTTTGAAATATTGTCTATTTATTTTTTATTATGTCGTTTAGAAAAATTAAATTTATATATATATATATATATATATATATATATATAGATATATATATATATATATATATATATATATATATATATATGTATATATATATATATATATATATATATATATATATATATATATATATATATATATATATATATATGTATATATGTTATATATTTGTTAGATTCACAAAATATTATGTATATATATATGTGTATATATATATATATATATATATATATATATATATATATATATATATATATATATATATATATATATATATATATATATATATATATATATATATGTATATATGTTATATATTTGTTAGATTCACAAAATATTATGTATATATATATGTGTGTATATATATATATATATATATATATATATATATATATATATATATATATATACAGTAGAATCCCCTTAACTCGGACTCTGAACAGGTATATATATTTTGCCCGACTCAGCAAATCTCCGAGTTAGGCGATGTTTTTGGTATATATAGAGAATTCAAGGGGAATTGAAAATTTGTCAGACTTAGTAAAAGTCCGACTTATCCAGGGTCCGAGTTAATGGGATTCTATTGTATATAGCAAATTAAATGATACATACATTCTAGCTTCCTCAAGATGACAGAGATATTCATAAGCAATCTGTTCCCTTCTCCGCTCATCCATCTCCTCTCCTGACTGTCGTGATTCCTCACTTTCATAATCTAAGAGTATAAAGAAAATATTTTTTTAGATTTTTGTGGCTTTATCTTGCAATTTAATTCAAATAAACTAATGCAAAGTTTTTAGACAAGTATGTGTTTGTGTTTTTTATGGTTTATTAAATCATCATAGTTGTAGTTTTCTTTTAAATTTTTCTTGGTTTTACTTTATTTCAACTTTGACTATTAAAAAAATAAAGGTGATAAACAAAACATATTAAAACTAAAAAGCTGTTTATATTAAGAGACATATTTAGAGTGGACTACCCGTTAATAAAATAAATATTATAAAACAACTTTTAACTTCAGTAGTAATAAAATACAAAACATTGTCTAGACTAACTTTAAGTTTATTTATAAATTCATAAATAGTTGAAACTTTAATATTTTAATTTGCAACAACTAGAGACCAAATTGAAAATTTAGGCAAACATAAAACTTAACATTAAAAAAAAATCTAATTTTTATATCACATAATAAATAATTCTGTTTTAGCGCAATAACGAGCTCAGCTATTTAACTAGTTTTAATAATTTTTAATAGTTTAAAAGTTTTAAGAATTTTTTTTTTTAATAATTATAAATATTTTCACCTCCGACATTCTTTCCCCAGTGACCAGGATCTTTCGTCAGATTGGGTGAAGGAACGCTCATTTTCAAACTCAATTAATCATTCATAGGAGAATTTAAAACATTTTGTTAATTAAACTTTTGATTCAGATTTGATATTATAACATTTTGTAAAAAGAGTCCTTGTTACGCGCAGTTATTACAATTACCACGCACCTTAAACTAGGGCCGTCAATTCATGTAAACTTATAAGCTCCGTTTGTTTACAAAAAAGCATTTTTCCATATCAAGTAAAAAAAAATCACGCAGAAAGTCAGCTTAACGAATGAATTTTAACATATTACGGAATTTACTTATGGCCTAAAATAACAACTTTACTTAACGATAACTGAGATAAACACCATGCATAAAGTCGTTTCTATTACGATATTTCCTTATTTTATATAAGCTAATATAAGCTTGCTGCGAGACAAAAAAAATACATTCTGATAATTGTTTTTCTGATAATTCTGTTATAACTTTAAAGATAACAACGGTAGAAATTAATTATTTAAAAACTAAACTGATTTTGCTTTTTAAATTTTGCATAAAAGGTCTGCGTTTATTGCCCACTCGCGCATTAGATAATTGATTTTTTAAAAAAAAAAAAAAAAAAGATTTGATTTTTTTTTAAAAAAGTCTGTAAATTGTTACGTTTTTTATATAGCTGAAGAATAATGATTAAATGAAATTTAATTATATAATTAAACTAAACCGCGAGTTTTTTTAATTTCAAAAGTGGCATTAGATAAATTTTTCAATTAAAAATTTAGCTTAACAAAAAATATTATTAATTCTGAAAACCAAGACCATAAACGTGATTTTAAAAAAAAAAACATTTTAGAATTAGGTACAACTAAATTTTGTAAAAAGACCGTTTTACTAGTTTTTGTCAAGTTTTTGTTTTTATCATTTTTTTATAGCTGTAATTTTTTTAAAAAAAATTTGTTTATAATAAATATTGCTCATGAGAAATCATAACTTTATCAATAATTCAATGCAATTAAATATTAATATACGCTTTTTATTTAGAATCATATTTAATATCTCATTAATTCATTCTATTATAAATAATTCTTTCTTAAAACAAATAAACCTTTTCTTGAGCGCTCTACCATTTCTCATCATCCGAAATTTTCATTCATCGTGTGTTAAAATTTGAATATTAGTAATCAATACATTTATCATTTGATTTTAGTTTTTAAAATTCGTATACTTTGACTTCCGTTTTCACGGATTGTTTTTCTTTTAAAACAATTGAATGATTAATTATTTATTTACTATGAAAATCGTAAAAACTACGTCACAGGTGAAGTCAAAGTTGTATTCTAGATCAACCTGTATACAGGGGCCCACAGAGAATTCATGATGCCCGATATGTATTATTAAAAAAATTTACTAAATGCTCCTTCCCCCTCCCCTAACCAACACCAAAATAAAAATAATAAAAAAAATAAAGCTATTATTTCTAGTATTCACAATATATATATTAAAAATTCTGTATTTGAGACAGTTCACGAATCAAACAATTAAACACAACAAAGAAAAAAATCATTTCTAGATTTGGTATCAAATTTTTCTGACGTTATACCAAGACTTTATGTTGTAACTTCCAGCTTTGCTGCTTTTCTAGCAGCAAAGTTGGAAGTTACAACATCGTAATTAACTTTCTTTGCAAGATCTGTTTTGATTGAAAGGATAAGAGTAGCGGAACTCATCAATAAACTCGTTTTCATTAAGATCATTTGGATATAGATGTAAGAGATCTTTAACTTTAGATTCTTGACTGTTCGTTAAGTCATAATTTTTTTTTTTTTTTTATTCACCTCCTCAAGGCCGAGAAGGCCACAGACGAGGAGGCTACTTATTTTGTGGCTATAACCCTCTCTCAACTCTATAACTCCGAAACACGAACCTTGACGAACAAGGCCGCTGCGCGGAGAAACGAGTTGAGAATTGATATCAAGCGTAGACCAGGTAAAAGAAAATAATCTACATTGCTATTTCGGAGCTTGAATTCTCTCTGTAATCTGACGGATGAAGGTAATAAAGCAAACAATTTTATTTTCTTTATTGGATTTTTTATTTGGAATGCTGATAACTTTTTTTGTCATCTATTGATGCCCCATAAACGTGATGCCCGCGGGAAACCGACCCGGGTCCCTCACCCTCTCTGCGCCCCTGCCTGTAAAGTGCATACAGATTGATTTAAAATCTATGACCGGTATACACTATTAAGGTTGACCTAAAATACAACTCTTTGTTGAAATTACAACCATTAGCTGCATAGGATTTAATTGTACTTAATGGCTAATTAAAAACTCAATGATAAATAAGGAACTCGAAGTTCAAAACAATTCAGCACTAAAAAACGTAGCAGTTTTAGTCTCTTTACTAACAGAATGTTTACAAAATCTTTTTGATACAATTTATTTCGGTTTCTTACTAAGCTGCAAATGGTATGGTTCCCTTGCTTTACCACTAAAAAAAATTTTTACGTTTAATAGACGACATAAATAAATGAAAGTAGGACGCAGAACTTTTATTCAAAACAGTCTAAAATATAATATTTATTGGGATTTTAAATTAAAAATTCCTCAATATATTAAAAAAAATTTCACTAAATTAATTATTATAGTTATCATAATTAATGTTTATTAATTATTAGATTACTTTTTATTAATTTTTCTAAAATTAATAAAAAAGGCATGTTGTTTATTTTTAAACATTGCCTGCTATAAATGCTTTGTACCCTATGATAATAAAGTTTTAATTTCTTTATTCAGACATTTGATCAATATATGCAAAGCCAAAAGGGTAACTCCGGACACTTGATGTACAGCTTAAACTAAAGAAGTTATGTGATTTTAAATACTATAAAAACATTATATGAGTGAAAATATTGCATATGCAAAATGTCTATCATAATATGCCGCAGCAATTAGCTGGGAGTGCAAGATATTGTTCCCCACCACCAGAATCGTGATGAGTCAATATATTTGATTCACATACTAATATATCTAATTTTTATGTAAACTAATAACTTTTAATTGATTAAAGATAACTTTTTATTTACAATTTTATTAAAGAAAAAATCGTTTAATACTTAAATTCAATGGTTTTAAAACAATTATTTGTGAATGAAGTATAATCCGGTGCTATCAGACACATGTTCGGAAAGTGCTTTCTGACAACTTAACGTATTTACACATTAAAAATGAGCAACTTTTATATATAAATCGTAATGCATTTAATATAATACAAAAACTCATAATAGTAACTTGTTTAATTCCAATGAAAAGACCTAAGATTTCGAATAAAAGTGTTTTTAAAGTGTTTATTTGCATTAGTAAAAAACTAATGTTTATATTTCTAAATAATGACACTTTTATTCCCATTCCTTATATATCAGAGGCAATTTTTAAAGGCGATTTTTTGTTTAAATGTGTTGAGAAAACCCCAATGCAAATTAATTAAATGTTATATTTGTGTCACACGGGTAAAGAAGAGGTAAAATCGTGGTTTAATGGGGCTACCCTCCAATTTTGTCTGGAGCTACCTTCTAATTTTAAAACACGCCTTTTTTCTAACATTTTTCTTTTATGTTTTGTAAATTATTAAAGTACAAAATAATTGTTTTTTTATTTTTTAATTCAATTAATAAATGTTTATACTTATAATATAGTCTTTTGACACTTTGTTTTCTTTTAGTACATGTGTACAACCTATTTTTTCCTTAAGCGTCCTTTCCCCGATTATTCAATATAATAAAATACATAAAAAATATTTTAATAAAAAATATATATATAATATATTGACAAAAAGTATACAAAATATAGTAATAAAATTTGCATAAAATATACTTTATAGTAAAAAATAAAAAAATTGATAACAATTTATTTTCAATAGTTCATTACGTTGAATGCAAATCGGAAGAGTATTTCGGAACGGAATACTCAATATTAATAAAGCTTTTATTGATAAAAAAAATTTATTGTTAGGCTTGAATTTATACTTTTAAAACAGCAGGTTATTTTTATTTTATAAAAGATTAATTTCATTATTTTTAATTATGTTGACATTTCTATTGAAACTATATATAGTTTTTTATTTAATTGACTTTTAAGAATTATTGTATATTATATGAAGTAACTTAAAATTACAAAAAACTTTAACTGCATGTTATTTTGCTAATTACACGAGTACTGATTGTAAACCATGTATCAAATTTTAGAAAAAAAGTTCTGCCATTTTAACTAATAGGATTTTTGTAATTATCGAATTCCAAATTATATATAATGCAGATTATAAAGGTAAGCAATTTTAACAAATACTGGATGTCTAAACCATTTATTAAAACACGTTGAACAGATTAATAGAGAACTTATTTATTATAATGTAGTTATTTAAAAGAAAAAAAAACTATAAAATCAGGATTTATTTAATTTGATTAAAGAGATCGAATTAGTAAAAAACTTATTGCTTAAAAATACTTTTTTCTTTTCATATCTTGGTTAATTTCTACATATTTAATATCTGAGCTCTAAGCTTTTGGTTGTCTCCTCAGGTGTGAGAACAAAAACCTTAAATTCTTATTTAAGGTTTTTGTTTTTTAAGTTAATACGCTGTTGTTTAGTTTATGGTAAAAGATAAGTAAGAATTTTTTAGTATTTGGTTCATGGACTTGATAAATGAATGACTTAATAATTATTGATTTGATGACTTGACTTGATGAGATCTGTTGATGTGCTGTGAGAAGATTTTCTATCATTTAAATTTAGGCGTTGTCAAGATTAGTTACTGATAACTGCATTTGAAAAACTACTTGCAATCTGAATTCCATATAGCATAGATAAGCTATAATAATAAAAAAAATATTTGAGACTCAATGTTGAAGTATTCAAACAAAACAGAAAATGCTCCTCATGGAGAACTTTTCGCATCAAAACCATATAAGGTGTTTATTGATCTTTTTTTAACTATTACTTATGCAACCTGTAACAGTATTTTTGTTACCACGCGTTTATCTCTGAATGTACTTATCTCTGAATGTACTTTTTGTATAACATTGTATAATTTATACGGCAGGTAATTACGAAAACTATATTAGTTAGCACTTAACGTTTATGGAGATATTTTATCGCACGTGTTTTATTTTGTGATCTAAAAAACCATTTAAATTAAACTAAATTACCAATTAAAGGTAATTT